TCCAGCGTGCGAGGAGGGGATGCCGGTTAAAAGGAGAGGGACAGACGGACGGGCGGTGGGAGAGGGACAGAAGGACGGATGGAGAGCTGAATGGTAATGAAAATTAAGCCAGCGCGCTTCCTTTCCCGGTTAAAAATTAACTGGCGTTCACAGCCAATCCCAGAGACAGTTGAAACCCATGGAGTTTTCTCTGGCCGAAAGGGGGGTTTTGATTTCCTCAGCCCAATAAAATCGCATCCTCTGTGGGGCTGTGACAATGTGGCCATAAAAAGTGCCCGTGACTTGTCCGCTCGCCTCTTAAGAAATGCGGGGTTATAAAGGCACCGGGAGGTGAACCGGACACAACCCTCCGCCGTCCGTCCGTCCGTCCGCCCGCCCGCCGTCCTGCCGCGGCCGCGGCAGGACGGCGGGCGGGCGGACGGACGGACGGCGGCGGCGGTTTTGGGGCTGTTTTGCCACAAGATGGCGATCTTCAGATCAATGTCAAAGCCGCCTGGGGCGAGGGGAGCAGCCCTGGAAAGGAAAAAAAAAAAAAAAAAAAAAAAAAAAAAATCTTGGCCTTTGTTCATTTTGCATCCCTGGAGCCGCACGGGTAATTATTGCACTTAAGCGGGCTCCGGCTTTCCAAAAAAATAAAAAAGGCCGCTCGGGATGGCGGAGTGGGGGAGCCGCCGGGGCTAAAGTTTCCTAAAAATATTAAGAAAAGCGCGAAGGTAAGTGTTTTCTGCATCTAGGCGGCGTGGAGAAGGGAGAGAAGCGTGTGGTACCTAGAGAGTTGGGGGTGGTCCCCTCCCCCGACCGCCGAGCAGCGCGGAAAAGAAGCGTAGGGAGGGGAAGCGATGCGAAAAGTTTGGTGATTGCGGTGCGAAATAATATAGAAGGGGACTTTCTAAGCTGCAGTTGACCTTTTTATTTTCTCTTCGTAAAGTTTTGGCCAGCCGCGTGGAAAATCCACGTTATCTGGAAATATTTTTTCAGAGTAACTTGTAGCTTTCTTCCAGTTATATATAAAAAAAAAAAAAAAATTGCAGCACTGGAAATATTATGAAACTTGACATTTATGTGTGGAACAGTAGGTGTCTTCAATCAAATAGATCTATGGCAACGCAGACTGCAAATGACATACAATTCTGGCGATCTTATTGGACTTGAACTGTAGTTTAGTTAGGGTCGTTTGGTCACTTTAAAGGGTAGTCTGCTTCCTCGCAGCTGGACACAGATTGTGGTAAACAAGTTTTGACACACTTATGCTAAAAACTATTCATATCATTGTATACAAAGTCAGTGTTCGTGCAAGACCAGATTTTGGATTTAATCTATCTATCTATCTATCTATCTATCTATCTATCTATCTACCTACCTACCTACCTACGTACCTATCTCTCTTTCTAAACCAGCACATGTGCTGTAAACAAACAATAGTCACACATTCTCATGTGCTCAGGGCTGCTCTGGGTTTTAGCTTTGAAACTCTATCCTCGCTACGAGTATCCCTAACTCCAGGTTACTTTTCTCGCCCATAAAAGTTTCACATGTTTTTGTTATGTCTCCATTTGAGAAGGGAGGGAGGAAAGGTGGTATTATGTGGAGGAGATACTGGTTTGGCTGCATATTTTAATCCACGTGTTTCTTAGGAGAGGGCATACAATTTTTAAATATCTATCCGAGGGGGAAGAAAAAACAAATCATTATATTCTTGCTCTCGGATGTAAATTAATGCAACTTGCCTGCAGTATTTTTTAAGAAGGCGCCCTTTACAAACGTGCTTCCAGGGAACTGTTGCAAGGGCAGTTAAAAACGCATGCTCAGTCGGCAGAGAGCATTTTTAGATGATTATCGGAACCTATCGATTTCATCAAAGATGCTCCATTAAAAGCTGGGGGATGTTGATCTCTTTTGACCTCCCCTCGGCAGCGCCAGGACGTGAAAAGCCACGTCTCGGGAAGGAGCAGGGAGATTTGAGGGTCCCTTTGCAACATTTCATTTTACACCAGTCAAGTTAAACTCAGCATATTTGATCAAATATTTATTTTTCCCCTTGTTGTTTCCCTGCCCCATTCAATACTCGGCTGAATAAATCAAAGGGACCCCAGCAGCAGTTAAAGCGCCCTCTGGTTACGAATTGTTTACTGACGGCCGCGGTCATAGGATAATATTTAAAAAAAACAAGCTTGTTTCTTACAATAACTGTTTATTATTTCACATGATTTGGGTTTGCATGTTTTGGAGGAAAGAGGCGAAGCCAACTCAGTGTCTACACTGTGTTTAATTAATCGTGTACTCAACTTCGGCTCACATACCACATCCAAACCCCTGGGAGGCTTTTTCATAAGCTCTTTGGGTTTGTGTTTTGTTGTCTTTTTTTTTTCTCTGTGTGTGTGTGTGTGTGCGCGAGTGTGTCACAATCTTTTCATTAAATGCTCTGAAATGGGAACTTCAGGCCAAACGTGTGTGTCTGAGAGCCAGGCTATACCGCAAGCAGAAAAGATATTTGTATATGCATCCAGATCTTATTTAAAGGAAAGACAACTACAAAAAAAGAGGAGAAGGGATACAATTTCAAATGCTTAATACAGCTGTGCGGCCCATCTCTCGCAATAGAACGGGTACACTTAAAAGACGGACTCGGGTATGTAAGATTTTCCCGACGCATGTATAACCCGATACCGTTGTTGCTTCTGCACGGGTTTTTGGGGCTCTCCGGACAATAGAAAGCCTCGTTGTTCTCTCCAGTGCCGAAGGAATGGCGAGGAGATAAAGCCCTAATGAATTGGTTTGGCTGTATTTTGTCCTGCCGCACAGTAGAATTCGGAGCTCGTCAGAATTACTTGCAAAATATGTTCCTAATCCAAATGAGTAAAACGATACACATATAGTGTAAAACATAGTTAGGAGAACAAGCCTCCGGATGGCTGGAATAAAATTAAATCTCAGTCTAATTTTTAACAGGATAATCCGCCAAAACAAGCCAACCTTCTCTCTCCCCCCCCCCACCCCCCGCCCACGTCCCAGCG